ATTCGAAAAAGAAAAACAATAAAATCAAAATCGAGTACGGCTCTCAGATGGCAATAAAATTTTAATAACTTTTACGGCCGGTTCGGGGTCATCGAAACCCTCAAGCCCACATCGCTCATCACAAACACTGCAATCAAAACAAAATTTTAAAAACTATAAACGCAGACTACTGGCAAACACAACAAAACCCGAAAATCACTGAAATGGTCAGCGGGAAAATGGAAACTAATTAAATTAAATCAATAATGGGCGGACCACAGCGCCCAATCTAAGAGGAAAAATACGGGATGCGGGGTCATGCCCTCACAATTATACTGACACAAAAAAAATGAGCCACAAAATCCAATAATTTTTAATACAATTTCCATGGCCGTTAGATTCGTCTTCGGTGGCCCCAAAAAATGAAAAAGTTTTGCGGTCAAAAGTTATACCCTCCTGGCAAAAAAAAAACAAAAGTAATTATAATTCCAAAAAAAAATAAAAGCATTTACAAAAAACCTTGACAATTGCGCTGGGACATGCAAATCGCGCATAAATTACAGCGAGAGCAACAAAATATTTTTCCCAACTTTTGTAATTTTGCATTTAGCGTTGAAAAGGCTCGCGAAAAGTAATTTTCAGATAAGCGCTCTTTGACCCCTCCCCACCCCACCTCACTGGGTGGGGTCACGCCCTCGACAGTAATCTTCTGCCAGGCCACACAGCTGGTTTGACATTTATGGTGGAAATAATTAGAAGCTTTCACAGCGGGCAGTTCCAGAATGAGGGGCTGACTCCACATGATCCATGAAAGTGGAGTTAAGCTCTCGGACTGGTAATGGAAAAAATGTGTAGGGGTAAGTGAATTTCATAAATATTTATTTATGAGATTGGCGGTGTTGTTTCGGATAAGCACTTTTTAAAATTAAAATAAACATTTATTTATGCATGCATGGGTCTTAGCTTGACTTGACTTTAAGTTTAATGGGTTGTACGTCCCAAAAATCCACCCCCTTTGACAGGACCTTATCAAGATGGGGAAATATCAATTACACAAAGCTTTATCTGTTCATCAGTAAACGACGAATGCCTACCAATTAATGCCATGATGATGACAGTCCGAGGACAAGTAGTCCCCATGTTAGACCCTTGGGGATATTCATACAATGAGCCATGTAGGTCCTGTGAGGACTTTTGGTCATTAAACTCCTGTTAGATGGAGGTGGACACGTGACTTGGTAATGCATATGTCTGCAAGTCTGGCAAACATTTACTTCCACTTAGCTTTGCTTCTTCGACCCCCTCATCCCACCTCGGGGGTTTTATTTTTTTGTACCATCCACCCACCCCAACCTTTTCTACCACTTACCCCGTTTTTTTGGGGGACTGAAACACACCCAACCAAAACACTGAAAATTATGCACTGGGGAAAACAGTTTGTTTGTGTTATTTTGACCAACTTTGGAAAACACCAACCATTGGGGTGGTTGGGGATACGGACAGGTAAAAATTACAACCCATCAGCAGGGTTGGGTCCTGTTCTGGGGTTTGTTATTATTTAGTGAACAAGCAACTGTTGAAATTTACTCGTGACAAAATAATTTTAGAGCTGTGCCTCGGAAAAAAATGGCTTGAAAAGGCAAATGGCAATTTTATATGAATTAGGAAAAGTATATATAGCTTTTTTTTTGGGCCATTTTCCCATTTTCTCTGTTTATTTGTTGAGAGAAAAATTTTCATTGCTAGAGTCTGCCTGTTTGGGTTTCATTTCATTTTATTGCCGTGAATTCTCTTCTATTTATTTTTTATGTTGGCTGACTGGCACTCTGGTTCCTTTTCGCTTTCCCTTCTGCAATTAAATTGGCTTTCTGTGTTGACTTTGCCCCACACACACACTGGCATTATCCTGCCGGTTTTTAGGGATGTGATCAAATGGTGTAACTTCTTCAAGTCGGCTCCTTTATTTCGGGCTTTAATTCTGGGCCAGGCCGACACACACATACGCCTGGTCTGTTAATTAGGCTGGCGTTGAATTTTGCTTATTAATTATGTAATTCATTTTTCCGCTTAATTATATTGAGAGAGAAGGACAGCCGAGCAGCTACCGGCTGCCAACATCAGAAATCCGAATGTATCTACACATAAAATTCCTGTAATTGGACTGTAATTAACTTAGCTGCCTGTCCTGTCCTGGTTGGTGTGGGGCCATCAAAGAATACTTCCTTCCTTACTCCTGCCAGGTTGCTCGTGCTCAAAGGAATTTATTTATAAATAAACATATATTACGCTCGGATGAGTAGGAATGGATTTGTGATAGTAACATTCTTTCTCCACCTTTCTCCTTATTTGAGGAATTTAATAAGTGTGTTTCTTATTATTATTGACAGCTCTTCGAGGCACAATTACGACTGTTACCCTTCCCCTAATCGTATCTAAAATAACCTATTTAGAACCAAGACCATTGTTGAGCTGCTGAAAATCCACACAGAACTGCGTATAACCTGAACTCTGGATGGATTCGACACACATCTAGCCAAAGACCATTGCCCCAGGGTTGGTGGCGGAAAACAAAAAACAATGGAATCCTGCCATATTAAACGGAACAAATGCAGTGCAATCATCTGGCAGGACATGAATTGGGGTAGTTCGGGGTGTTTCGGGTGGTGGTGCGGCAGGGTGGCGGTGGTGGGTACAACACGAAACATGTTGCAAAATATTTTAGACGTTTTCCCAACACAGCCAACCGAGAGCTGCACTTTGATGGCGTCATAAATCTCAAAGGAGCAGAAACAAAGACCGGGGAGAGAAATAGAGAAAAATGTATAAACAACAATGAGAAATGTCGAGGTGTAGAAAGCAGGCCAAGGATACCCAGACAGGATACAGGACAACTGCATAATAAACACCGAAAAAATTAATGATTTACGAAGGACCCGACAACAAGTTGGGAAAGTACGCGACCCAACAGTATTGCGATTACCTGTTTTCCCAGACAGACAGGTAGAAAGAGTTTGGTGCCCAGAAGTGGGTGTGAAAAATGGCACAAAATAGGAGAACTTTCCTGCAAGTGAGTCTTCCAACCACACAGAGAAAAATTACACACCTACAAGCAGTTTTTTTGTGAATCAAATGAGGTCTTTAAAAGTTTATTATTCAACGTGTCTGATAATCATCGGTGTGCAGTTTTGATACGAGTCCCTCAAAAAAGTATCTTTTGGTGTTTTTTTGTTTTGATGACTACCCCTGGGTTATCTTATCAACTCTTTTTGGTGGAAAAGGTGGAGGCGTCACTCCGCATTTCGTGCGTGTGTCACATATGCGGGGCTGAGTACCTCACCTGGCTTGTGCCATTATGAGCCGAGCAGCTGCCCCGTCCCAGCTGCCCCGGGTCAGAGATTCCTTTTTGGCATTGTTCGGCTCAGATTTTGACTCTGCAGGGCCTGCAGGCGAATGGAGCCGAACAATGGAAATCAAAAATCAGTTGCAGGCCATCCCACATCCAGCCAAAAATATGCGTCAGGGTGGAGGCATGCGACCAGATAAGTAGACAGGAAACGAAAGCAAAAATTGGAATCTAGGAAACTCTACACCAAATAAGGTCCAAGGGGCTTGGATGAGTCTGTACTCTCTACCTTTAGGGGCTGATGGAACTGATAATAGGTCCGGCCAATGCGTAGAAACATTCAACCCAAATAGATACAGAAATAGGCCAAAATATGTGTGTCAGATATTTTTTTTATCAATGGGTTTACTCTCAAAAAAATATATCTATATGTGCTTGAATTCTAGCAGTGTTAAAGATATTAAGGGGCTTTGTATTTTTATACTAAAGTCACAAAAGGAAATAATTCTACTACCTATGATTTGACTGACTTCTTAAACCACTTTCTTCCTCCCGAAATTCTTTTCAAAAAAATGCTATCCATTTCATTTGCCTTTCCTTCACCTCCTCGAGCAATATCCTTCTTGACCTGACTCGACAGTTGATTCCTTTGCTACAGACTCGTCCTTTGTTTTGGCAGCCGCTGCAATTTGTCACTTTTCGCACTTTGGTCTGTCCCGCCACGTCTGTCTGTTGGCTGTCCTCGTCCTGTTCGGGATGACAGGATATGCAGGCACTTGAAACATTTGCCATATAAAAATTGTTTGCCGTTGACAATTGCCAGCGATCCGACGACAGTTGAGGAATTCTCGAACTCGACTACCGTTCTGGCTCCCCGACAGGTGAACGAAACAGAAATTAAATTTCCAAAAAGGTAAGCAAGGGAAGCACGACGGCAGACATAAAACTTATCGCTGAATTAGCGTGCCAGAACTGTGAGATTGCGGCAGTTTGGAAGGGTCCCTAAAAATGAAGAGCTGTTGAAGGTGAGTTTGGCTCCAAATTGCCAAGAAAATTTCTTGAGGAAATAGTTTCCAAAGTGGCATTAGACTGAGTCGACTATCTAATACCTTTGAGGTCTAAAAACATAAATTTTATTGAATATTCTTATAAAATCTAAACCATGTAACTCCCTATTTTGTTTGGAATTTGTAGGGTATACTCCTTTTAAAAAATCCCAATATTCTATGCCATCTATCTCTCGGATTCCAATATCCCCTAAGCAATGCGCCAAAACAGTGTTGCATGAAAAATGTTCAGGGCCAACAGACAAGCCATAAATTTCCACAAAAAAGACAGACGAACGGCAAAGCGAATAAAACGAAATATAAACAAGAATCAAGAAGGAAGCGAGTCAGGATGTGATCAGGATATGCGGTGGCCTCCCAAGTAAATATATATTTATTCCTCAAAGACCTTACTTTCGCCCCTAATTAGTTTGTCTTGGTGCTATATTTTTCAAGACTTGTTTTTGCTATTATTTTGTAAGATTTCTTTGCCAGGATTTCTTTGTCGTTGAAGCTTTTTCTTAAAGAATTTTTTGGTAGGAATTAAAAGAAGTATTTAAATACATATCAGTTAAGAATTTATTTATTAATACTCTTTAAGTTTTCAAACTTAGTCCAATCTTAAAACTCACCTTTTGAGCCTTGCAGGTGACGTTGATGGATTGAACGTCGTGGGCCTGGTGGCGCTGCTCCTGGAGGCACAGCCCGCAGGCGGGCGCCTTGCAACTGAGACAGTACTGGGAGAGTGCCTCCTCGTGCTCCCCGCATACGGACTCACGCTGCTGGGCAGCTCCTCGGGGCTTCACCAGTGTGTGCTTGGCCAGCGGACCGCGGGCCGGATGACAGAGCTCCCGACAGGCATCGCAGTAGCGAATCTCGCACTGCTCGCAGATCAACGAAGCTACCTTGGGGTCCGTCTCGCACATCTGGCAGCGGAGCGCCTCGCGGGCGCAGAAGCGATCGACGATGGCCTCCATGGCCCGGTAGGTGGGCAGGTTCCTTACCCCGCCATCGTCGAAGAACACGAGCTTGCGGCAGAGCGGGCAGGTGAGACAGTAGGCAGCTCCCGGTGGAGCCACCACGTTACCCACACCCGGTAGCATTCCAGTGCCGGCATAGGAGACCGGTCGCGATGTGTTGGAGCAGCAGACGACACCCGAGTCCGCCTCGCTGAAGATGCTCACCTTGTCCGACTGATCCTGGTCGGAGGTGACGCTCTCGCTCCCGGTATTGGAGCTGGCTGTGCTGGCCGCGGAGCTGTGGGAGCTGTGACGGGTGCCAGGGCCACCGGAATTAGCTCCAGCTGTGTTTCCCCCGGCCGCTCCTCCGTTCACGGGTCCATGGAGTCCATTGTGTCCGGCGGTGGAGGAAGCCCCCGATCCGTTGGTGGTCACTGGGAGACCTGACCCCGGATTATAGGGGGTCTGAATGTCCAAAGCACAGCCCAGGCAGAGGGCGTGGAAGCAGGGCAGCAGCACCGGATTGGCGTACAGCTGCTTGCACGTGGGGCAGCGCAGTTCGTCCTCCATTTCGGGTGAGACTTAATCCGGTTCTGAATCCGCTTTTAAAAATTGGTAAGCTCGAAATAAGCGATTTTTCCACGGTCTCAGTTAATTCGGTTGGGCACTTTGGGCCAACATGTTTTCAAAGATTGCTTTCAGATTTATGTTTAACACTTCACTTGGCAGTTTTAATCTTTATTAGTTTCACTTTAATTTTTTTAGTATATTTTACTATTAGCCAATTTTTTAAAAACAGCACTTTCCAGATTTCTGTTATTTTTCAAATCTCTGCCTAGTTTTCTTGAAACTAATATTTTTAGTTTCACTTTTATCCAAAAAATTGCACAACTGTTTTGGGTTTGTTTTCACAAATTTTCGTATTTTTCTGTTTTCCAATATTCAACTTTTTACGATTTTACGAAACCAACACTTTCGAAAACCATCCGCGACACGTCCGACTCGCCCGAAATATTTTTCAGATTAAGCATCCGCCGTGGAAGCCTCGCAGTTGTGCCGTCGAGAACTTCGAACTCTTCGTGTTTGGTCGGCAGGGTCGCTCTCTTTCTCTCAGAAACCGTTGCAAGTCTTACATGCACTCCCCAGGTATTGTTTTTGAAAAATATTTAAAGAATTCTTTAATTTTTTTAGTTTTTAAAAATTATAATAAAATTTGTAAGATTATTCTTAATATATAATTTAAATAAAGGACCCTGACATTTTTCCTTTTCCAATTAAGATTACTTATTTTTTTATATCCTTTGCTTATATTTAAATTTTAAAACATAATTAAATTATATGGTCTTCCATCAGTATTAGCTTTATATTTTTTTAACAACATAAATAATCTACATATTTTTTATCGAATATTAAATTTATAAACACAACTCTCAACAGAAATAATCGAACTTGTTTGAACCGGCATCGAACATATGAGAAAGAAGAGCTCACAACTCGAACCTGTTAACATAACAGAGCTGTAAAGCAAGATGTTCAAATTAATTTCAAACTAGAATATTTGCAATCAGTTAAGAAGGAATATAAAATGAATAAATTAAATGTATACAATTTTTGGTAACTTAAAAAAAATAGAGTTAAAACTTATATATTTACAATTTCATGAAAAAACCCGGCATATTGGCACCTTATCTTTTCAATTTCTCGATAATGCAATTGATAACGATTCCTAGATTCGACTTTCATTACTCAGGTAATTACGATAGTTTAATATGTAATATATTTCTAAACAAAAACAATATTTAATCCTCATATTTTTAGGCTTTGATTTAAGATAGTTTTTATATTAAGATCATGCGTTTGAAAGTCAAATAATTTCAGCTTTACTAGATCGAATACAACTACTATATGGGACACAATTGTTACCTGTACAGGTAAACCCGTAAACAGGTAATGGTGGCACCTCCACTGCACTGAACTGATAAGCCCGGCCAGCGACCCAATCGTGCACATGGCGACATTCCGGGCTCTTATTCATCATTCCTCTACGAAGGTGTCAGCATTCACGATTCTACGATCAACAAATATTATTGGACTTCTACTATATGTTTGTTTGGCTGATTCCAACTTGGGGACTGAGCTGAGAATGTTTTCGAGTTTGTTTTGACACCGAAGCGGCCAGCCGGGCGGGAAATCGAGAACCCGCGATGGAGGAAATGAGAAAAATGCGCCCACTATGGTAAACGGACATTCGATATCTAAAATCCAAATACAAATAGGTGACCTGCTCTAGATGTTTATCTACACTACAGAATATTTTTAGAAAATTTTACAAAATTAAAAGTTTGAAGATAAAATATAGAGAAACTTTATATTTAAAACAAAATCTTTAACTCAAGATACCAAGGTTTTAAGAAGAGGTTGAAGTCAGAGGAAGTTTTGATTTTTTTGTATTTATGTATATAATTTATATAAAATATTTTTCAGTGTCTTTAGAAAAGCTGGACAACATACCTGAGACCAAAACCGTGCCGTGCAACGTGGAAAGTGTCCACCAATGCCCCCACCCACTCGAGACATGCGTAATCCGTTTGACTTAATAAGCCACGTTCCTGTTCGAGTATTTGATCTGGATTTGGAATCGGGAGGTGTTAAGTTGCCCCGCTATACCCTCTATGGCATACCCTCTATACCTTCACAATCAAACACCAAATGAACGTCTCACTTGTCTATGCAAATATTGACAGACACCGCATTGGTATGCTTAAGTTGCCTCAATTTATTGTTGTTTGTTTAACTTTTTCCACAGAAAGTATAGCCTTCTACCACTATTGCCCCTCGCCCCCTCTTGCACCGGGCTTACTAATAAATCACAAAATTGGACAGCAAGTGGCGGGGCCACAAGGGGTGAAGGTGCCGGGCGCCTAATTGCCAGAGTATTGATTTTTGGTTTTTTTCCCTCCGAACCCAAGTGTGAACTTTGGAGAAGGTGGAGGAGTGGCGCCAAAAAAATACACATGTATCTTAGTTATCGGATTGGGGAACCTATAACCTTAACCGGGATTGATGACACGCCTAATTACCACTTTCATTTGTAGATACGTGTATCTATTACACGTGTCGGACAGATAGGATTCATCCCCACAAAACTAATTCTCTATTACTGCACTTTTGGTAAATTGACTTTCCAAAAAAACTTACCCTTTTAAGGCAATGAAAATTCCAGGGATCAGCCATGGCTAGTCGGGCAATGCCTATAATTCACTGAAGCTTAAAATATTGAAAAACTTTTAGCACGTTCAGTTGCCACTAAGACTGCCCGGAAAATCCATCCCAGCCAAAAATCCACTTTCGCACCCCATGTTATCCCTCGGCTCATCCCTATGCATTTTGGTCCACTTTAATACCGTATATCATGTGGTGTAACCACGGCCAAGGACATTCGCCATATGCGAGTATGCATAAAAACGCAATAATAACAGTGACCCCCCAAAGCACCCACTCCAGTCTATACCCTACCGAATAGCAGAAATGCTTTGGTCACCGCGGGTGCGAAGCATTTTTTTCCACTTTTCCCGGCTTGATTTTGGGGAAAGCTTTACGTTGAAAAAAATAGAAAAAAAAAAAGAACCGAAAAGGAAAGCAGCAAATTTTTTGACTGGCGGCGCTTTAGCCTGGCTTTTTCCCGGCGACTGTGTACGTGTGTTGGCGGATTTTTTTTCGTTTTTTTTTGGAAACCATACCTCCCCCTAGGTTCTTTTGTGGGCTTTGTCGTGCTCCGGAGCGGAGACAGCGGTTGCAGCGGCCAAAAGGAGCGGGCAGGACTCGCCATCCGCCGCCATTGTCGGGTTAACACAGCCACCCACTCACACGTACTCGGTTGGAAATGCAAACAGCAAAAAATACTTTAGCTATAATAACCATGACTTTAAGGAAATAAGCATTAGACTAATGAATACCCTTGAGGGAAATTTTTAAATATTTAAAATAAAAAGCTCTTTAGACATACGACTTACCGATTCAATTTTTAAGAATTACAACTTGAAATAATATATATACCACATCATATTATATATATCAGCTTCTATGGTTCACCCATGAACTTCGATTTCATAGATTCCATAGATTTCCTTGATGAGAATTCCTTCATAGATTCCTTAAACATTCCCAGATCTTAAGGAAACCCAGGCAAATATATAATTAAAATTAAATTAAATTAAGAAAAAGCTAATAATAGATTGGCTGGCAAGTCAAACACAACTTTTAAAGTCATCGCCGAAACGGTAATGGCAGCTCTACAAATATTGGCTGGGTATCATAACAGGATTCTTTTATTCAACTTTTGAGAACAATATGTAAAAAGTTTAACCACAAAATACAGAATGGAGTTGGCAACGCCGTGGGCCAATAGGGAGATGATGGGGGAAGGAGCAGAGGAGTCCATGGGATTCCATGGAGTCCCTGCTCCGTTCACTCGTTCAGGATAACATCACCAAATGAGATTAGGAAGGACATTCGCGTATTTAACACAGACGGACGCTGAAACTGCTACCCAAGCAGCTGCAGTCGGTCGGGGAGTAAGGCTGGAGGATGGCTGGTTACCAGTAGGATATCCTGACTGCCTGTTCGACGGACACACACACATAGACAGTGGAAGGACCTCTGCTGGGTAACCATACTGTGGGGTTTTTCGACTCTTTTTTTTTTTTGCCAAAAATGTTCAACAGGGGAATTGTGGAGATGTGAGAGGATGGCAAGAGGGGAAAGAGGAAGGAGTCATCCTGCTAATATTGTGTACCACGCTTAGCGCCTCTGTTGTCATTGCAGGAAGTTGCAACAGTTTGAGGCATTGTAATTGCTTTTTTGTTTGTCCCAGCGAGGCCAGTGGTATGGGCTACAGAGGACACACAGGACCTTCTAGAATTGCAGCAAAATTTTTAATTAGATTTTTTGATTTTTTTTCCCCGTCATTTTCATGGAACTAATTTTTTTTGCTTGTATTTGCCGCCCGAGGTTCTGTTTTCTGTGTTTTAGCAAATGACAGTCGCCTTAAATTGGGTTTCCTTTTTTTTGTTTGGGAAGGAGGTAGAGTCCTTGGACACGATTGTTAACGAGTTAAAGCACAGATAAGGCACAAATTATGAGGCATGACAAATTGGTCAATGTTCGTTTTTGGTTGGAAGGATAATTCGTGAATTATGAGGGTTTAAATGCAAAGTGTGAAGCTTTAAAATTTTGGAATCTGAACTGGAGAAGTAATCCCTAAGACCTGTTAAATTTGCTACAAAACAACCCGCAACTAGTAATTAAATTAATTAAAATCAAATTTCATTCAACGAGCCAGAAGCTTATCCTTTGCATCTGAAAGATGTACAAGAACCTCAACCGCTTCCAAAAACAGCTGCAAAAAGTTCTTGGTGAACCCCAGAATAAACAACGACGTACAGCAGCATATAATTAAATACTTTTTGAGTATTCTATTGCGGGGGAGTCACACAACACATGGAAAAACAAAGCAAAGCTGCGTGGAGGATGCCATGGCGAAAAACTTCATTGCAATTATGAAATTTTAGACATTTGGATGGACTGCAGCTTGTAAAGCTCCCTTCGTGATTCCTTCCATATGTTGTTGTCCAGAAAAGTTGTTTTGTGGTGTTGCGGAAAACATGATACGGGAATCCACTCACATCACAGGAGTAACCAAAACGGGGAGGATTCTGGCAAGACCTGGGCTGGAAGTAAATTGCGTGGAAATCAAA